AGGGTATAGGGTTTAGGGTTTAGGGTTACCATAATGGGTACATATAGTAAATAATAGGGTTTCCCCAATATAGTAACTTGATTTAAGTTCCTTAACAGCAACCCAGGAAATGGGCGGAAATGCCTGCAAGACCTGAACAAGGCCCGGGCTTGCGAAAAAAGGAAACTCCTCTGTGGGGGGGGGGGGCGGCAACAGTTGAGGGACTGATAGTTTTCAATATTCTGGGGGGGCTGAAGTTGTCAATATTTGGGGGGGGAGGGGGGGGTGAAGTTCAGACTCTGAATCTTTAATGCTAACAGTGCGGTTTGTCAGCCTGCAGTGCGAGAAGCCTTGCACCCCAGCCCTTACCAGGAGGCAAGGAGCTCGTTGCTCTGCGACCCAAGGAGGACGAGGGCTCAGGGGCTCAGGTTGTAGATGGCAAACAAACCCAAGCAACTTTGAGAAAACTCAAGGCTGTTGTGATCAGTTCATGCTAGGATCACACGCTCTTGTATATCAATGGCGGGTGACCAGTACCAGAGGCAGAAGCAGTTGGAACCTTTTCAGCTGTACTTGGTTTGCACGGATTCTGGGCGAGTTCTGTTGGTCGGGATGGCAACTTTTCAAAAACATCTTTTTAAGAAGTCTCCTCGTCAGGAGCGCGGAAGCGAAGAGCAGCAAGAGGTGAAAGGTCTCCTCGTCTGAGCTTGCTGACTGTGTCTGCATGGTCCGGCATCAAACTTTCAGCTTGCTGCGGAAACCTTTTAGACCTATTGTCCCCCTCAAGTAGATAGAATATGGCTTTGGGTATATCATAATAAGATCCCCATATACCCCATAGCTCTTCAGTGGTTAGTTATTGATGAGGAAGCTTCGCGGGGCAATTTCTGCGTATCATGTTTTTGAGGAGATCTCTGTAGCCGGGTTGGTCTGCTATCTAAGAATACAGTAGGGCTTTGGCTTCGCGATGGGAGGTCAAGCATGTTGAGAGAAGTGCTTTTGTGGTGTTGCAGAGGAGAAAAGCCTGATTAAGGCATGTATGTATGTATATATGTACATCTATAGATAGATAGATAGATAGATATATATATATGTACACGTGCCCAGCCTGCCAAGGCAATCAGTGGAGTGAGCATAACGTCTGTGAAATCTCAGGTGATCTCTGACGTCATCATTCACACCTCCTACTCTTCCAAGTCGGGCCGGTAGAATCCTCAAAGATAATTAATAATCTATAATCTAAATCTATCTGTACTCTTCATAAAACCCCATATAACCCTATATAACCCCTACATATCCCTGTATAACCCCTATATATCCTTGCAGGGGCCCTAAGCCCCGTTAAGGGGCTCCCTGTTTTGAGAAGCCCCCGAGCTCGGGTTGCCAGGGAGGCGCGCGGAGATCAGGAATCCGGCTGCGGCTCTGGCCAAGACTCCAGTCACTGGGCTCTTGTTGAACAACATCTTGCTGAACAACATTTGGGTTTAGGGATTAGGGCTTAGGGATTAGGGTTTAGGGTTTTACATTTTTTGTATACCTGGGTCCAATATAGGTAATGAAGGATCATGTTTAGTAATATTTCAACAAGAACCCAGGTCACCTCCATACAAAGCCGCGAAGACAGGCGCTGCCTGCAGCAGTACATGTCAGGGTTCATTGTTGAGTGAGGTTCGTAGCACTTCGGCCCTTAAGCTCATAGCAGCTCGACAAACAAGCATCTGCAGTGTTGCGTATTTCGTGATTGAGCCACCTGCAATGTTTATCACACCCTGTGCTCAGAATGAGATTTGCAAGGAGGCAGTAGGTCATATGATGACTTGTGGCAGTGTTTCTTTTGACCCGCTATTCATCAAATTTGGTTCTCCGATCATCCGGCGCGCCTTCATGTGAAGAAAGGAACTGTGAGGAGTGATCATTGATTTTAGATGCCAATGGGTTGCAGAGGACCATGTTTGACTGCAATTAAGAGATGTTAAGAGGCACCGTTTACCAAGCAAATACAAACTTGTACTGGTGGATCGTCGGGAGTGGAGGAATGGCTCTCTCTTTATATCCAAGTTCAACCGATCCCTACCTCACCCTATGCTGCTCACCAAAGCTAAAACCCTAAGCAAATAGTAGTTTCCATGTTGCTTTCCATGACTCCTACCCTACACCCTCAACCCTACTAGCCCTAAACCCTGAACCCGTAAGGCCTACTAGCCTTAAACCCTAAACCGTGAACCCGGCTAGCCACAAACAAGTTGCAAGAGGTGTCGCGAGCTGCTCACAGGCGTGCGGCCTGTGCTGGAGGAGCCTGGTTATTGCTGGCCCTCGAAAATTCCTGCTTAGCATATGAGCTATAGTCTCAACTCCTTAATTTAAAGGGGATTATATAGCGGAGTATGTAGGGGAGTGTCAGAGGGGTTATTAAAGGGGATACTAGGTGTCTAGACTATAGCTCATAAAGAGGTTATAGAGGGACCCCTATGGGTTATGTAGGAGTTACAGGGATTTGCGTATGTATGTATGTATGTATGTATGTATATATATACGTATATATATATAGAGATATAGGTTTAGGGATGTTCCCCCAAGAATGGAGAATCAGAAAAGGAAATGGGAAATGAAATGGAGACAAAGGTTTGGAGTAACCACCTCCGCCTCACCATACCCCCCCCCACCCAACCCATAACATCTTTTGGTAGAAGTATGGGCCCCCAAAATGGGCCCTGTAGGCCCCTTAGGGGAATTCTAGGGACCTTTAAAAGGTACATAGAAGGTATATAGTAATTACATGAGGATCCCAGGGTTAAGGGCCCCTAGTAGGGGGCCCACGGTTTCCACCTTAGATAACAATAGATATCCACCCTTACATACACTGATACTACATGGGGGGGGGGGTGTTCTGTGGGGCGGGATGGTAGATGGTTAGAGATGGCGAGTATACATGTGCCAAAAACAGGATCCCCACATGGCATACCGCCCAGAAGAATACAGTCCTGGCTCCCCAAAAGCTGCAAGTTGGGCCCGTAATCTCTGTTACATACCAGTACGGTAAGTGAGGCATGCAGCCCTTGGAGCATGAAACAGCCTTACTGTATGATGCGATGCAAGAAGGATTCCAATCTAGCTGGGCCGCGTGGGGTCGCGAATTGTCAAAGCAATCTTTGAACCCGATCTTCGGAGATTTCGGCCGTGAACAAACACTGGTAGTGCAAACAAAAGGATTATATCAAGAAGCAGTTGGATAAGCAAAAGATGGCAGCAGCTGCTACTTGTTGTTTAAGTAGTGGCTGTAGTAGTGGTAGTGGTGGCACAAGTGGTCATGGTGGGTGCTAGGGAGCAGCAGGAGGAGGCAGGAAGAAATATCGTCGGACCTCGGCCCAAGTAGCCTCTCGCTGCAATTGCAGAGGTTTCTTTGGGAGACGGGAGCTGTATTCGGCGCTGCAACCAGAATTCTTGTAATTGAGATCTTACAATGCCAGCCCAATACCTCTTCCAGGACAGCATTGTCGATTATCTGGCCTCAATGATTGGAGAGTGCTTGCAGGAGCAGTTTCCAAAACTTAAGATATGGGCCAGTCAAGGACAGTGCATCTGAAGCGTTTGGTTTTGTACATTCGTTTGGAATAAAGCGTGGCTTTGATTGCTCTAGCTGCAGTGTGGCTCATCTTGACAGTTGCTGTGATGCTCTACATGGTAGTTTCCATTTTCTTTTCCATTATCCCAATATAATCCCAACATAATCCCAATATATCCCCAATATAATCCCAATATAATCCCAATATAACTCTGATGTGATACTGTAGCAGTTCCTACTTGGCGGTGAGGAAGAGCTGGAGGAACTCCATGAAACAGTCGTGGAAATCCTCCAGGCCCTGGGATGATGATTCATTTTTCGCGGTACCAGGCCCAAGACTCTGAGGTCTACCTAAACCCCCAAAAGTATGTAAAATAACAGCCCTAAACCCGTAATAGTAGCCATAAAGGCCATTATTTTACATACTTTTGGGGCCCAGGTAGGGTTTAGGGTTTATAGGGGCAAGGCACAGGCTCTCAGGAGGTTGCTGCATGCCCACGGCCCACGGTAGCAGATATTGGATGAGAAGCATCCGCTCATTTTACTGGTTCTTAGCAGGGCGTATGGGAATAGATTCCCTATAGAATTCCCATATGATATAGTCCCTTCTTCCCTACGAACCCCCCCGTAAGTCACGCTGCTAATACAGAACGCGCTTGCATATGCTTCCTGCTGCCAGGGACATGATATGCCTGCCAAAGATGCAGAGAAATTGTGGCAGAAGCTTAGGACATGAGATTGATTTCCGCCAAAAATTGTTCAATTAATGATGGTAAATCTGATAACCCAAATCTTCAATTTACTGAGATCCCTTGAAGAGAATGAGTTACCCTTGCATCAGAGAGTATGGGTAGATCTCATATAGTTGTAGATAGAGTCAAATATATTGAGTATAAAAACCGAACCCATCCAAGGAGGAGGATGAAGTATATCGTCACATATCTATACTGTGTAAACTGGCAAGCAATAATTTCTGTTTCGTTGAACTTGAAGCGTGCGAAAACGATCGGCTTGCATTAGGATCTTTGGCTAACGTCCACTACATATCTTTTTTCTAGGATTCTCGCGTCATATCTAAAGATTTGTATTTTGCGTATGATTTGAATACCTCAATATTGCGGCACGGCCACTTATAGCCATTTCGCTCGCGTGCGGCCTAGGTTTGCCGGCTCATCTTTAAAATGCCTCTTGGAAGTCTCTAGGAGTTCTAAAATCTCGGAGATTTTAGAGTCTTTCGGAAAAACTAGAGGCTCTAAATCTCCGCGATTTTTGGCGTGGGCGGCGCGACTAAAAATCTCGGAGATTTTTGGTCGCGCGGCCCTTGCCTCCGGAATTGTGTTCCGGCGATTTATCTTTCTTTTTTTATTTTGGTTGTTTACGCGGTTGCTCAGAATATATACGGGATGGAGAGTTGCCTTTTTTTTGTTTTTTAGTAGGCTGGCCGTATATATCTGTCGGGATTTATGTGCTCGAGCGATATTAGATGATTTAGATGATTATGGCTGAATTTTTTTGGTCATGTTATTCTAAGGCAACTTATTCCGCAACAGAGAAACAGAATTTATAGCTTGATGAGATTTATACGCTCTCCTTGAGCTGCCGCGTAGATAGCTTAAGACATATAAATGAGGTGGCGAGATGATTGTTATATAGCACGTGGGGGGTTTTAAGGCATGGTTCATTGGATTTTATATGCGAGTTTATATATTATTGAATTATCGGAACGCTCATTATATGCTTGCTTAAATAGATATTATAGGCAACCTGTTATATCTAAACCTTCATTATTAAGATGCGATTATTTGAGGTTATTTCATTCGCACGCGGATTAGATTTTCTAATTTAATTTCTTATAGAATCATTCTTTTCGAAGATTTTCGAATCATTCGGGGAAAAACTAGAGACCCTATTATCTCACGGAGAGATTAGAAATTTTAAAGATTCTGGGGTCGGGAGACTCTTGTTGCCGAAATAATTTTTCGCGTGATTTATCTCTCGCGATTTGGGTTGTGCTTCGCAGAACGTATAAATCCGGACTTAAAAATTAAGAAATATTTATATATGATTTATATTTATCTTCAAAGATTTATGTATTGCTTCTATTCGTTATATAGGAAAATTAAGAGAAATCTATGAGGGAGAAAGACCGAGATAGATACGGACGCCGTGCGACTTAGAATCTCCAGAGGTTTCGGATTATTTTTTTTTATCTCTTCAATTAAT